CTCGTTAGACAAATTATGCTTATGTTCAGTAGTAGAAAGTAAATGAAATGTCATACTTTTTATTGCACAAGTTGATAAGGCTACATTAGTTGCTCAGTCTGATCAATCTAGATATATACGAAAGTGTTACTAAAGTGGCAAACCAAAACACACTATGAAAACTTGCTAGAAGTTGCATGAAAAACCAAATAGAGGTCGTGGGAGAATGAGAGGTGGAATCACGAGAGCTCAAGTAAATTTTATTGAAGTTAGGGAAACACTTAGTTCACCATCTGTTGGAGGTTTTTTAATCAAAGAGATTCAAAACCTGAAGTGTCTTCTGACTCAACTTAACTTTTCATCAACTGTTGACACATCAAATATGATTAAATCAAATATTGCTCATCTCCTTTCTATTTCCATTCATAATATATGGATTATAGATTCTGAAACTAACAAATATATGATAGGCACTTCTAAAGAATTTCTAATATATTTTTCTTATACTGAAGGGAAAAATGTCCATATAGCAGATAGGTTATACACTCTCGTATCTGAAACAAATTTCATTAAGTTTACCCATACTATTACATTATCTTCAGTTTTATGTGTCTAGTTTTCAGACAATTTTTATCTATTAATATTATTACTAGAGATCTTAATTGTAAAATTGAATTTTTTTTTTCTGATTATTGTATCTTTCAGGATCTTTAAACCGTGAAAATGATTGACACTGGTAGACTGTAAAATAACTTATATATATCTTGGATAGAAATCAGAACTTAATTGAGAATCAAGTCACCATTAGGAATAAAGAAGTCAATATAAAAATACTACAATGATACAACGATTAGCACATCCTTCATTTTTTGTTTTAGAAAAATTATATCTAATTTTTTTAAAACTTCTATGGATTATTTGTTTTGTGATACATGCGAACTTGTTAAATATAAAATGAACTCTTATCATTTGAGTTATAATAGAAATACTTACCTTTTTATGACTATTGATTCTAATGTGTGGGGATCTACTTAGAATATGATGATCTGATGATAGATACTTTGTTACTTTTATTAACTGTTATACTAGATTAACATGAATTTATTTGTTAAAAGTAAAAAGTGATGTATTTTCATGCGCTCAATCATTTCATAAAATATTATGCACACAATTTAGTGATAATGTTTAGATTCTGAGAGCTGACAATGGTATAAAATATATGAATAGTAGGTTCTGTACCTACTTGAAGTCAAATAAGATAATTCATCAAACAAGTTGTGTCTACACTAGTGAATAAAATAAGATTGCTGAAATAAAAAACAGACACATACTGGAGGTAATTTGGTCACTAATATTTACTATGAATCTACCTAAAAGTTATTGAAAGAAATGTAGTTCTCTCAGCTACTTATCTTATCAATAGAATGTCTTTGCGAATTTTGAATTTTTAAAGTCCTATGAAGGTTTTGTAAGGAAAAAATTTCTATATTGTTTCCCCAAAGATTTTTGAATGTATGTGTTTTATTCATGCTAGAAATGTGAGTAAGGTAGAATTTAGAGCACTCAAATATATATTTATTAATATTCTCCTATCCAAAAAAACTAAAGTGTTATCATCCACTGTTTAGAAAATATTTTGTGATTATAGATGTTACTTTTAGAAAAAGATCGAGTCTTACTTCAACTCAAATCCAACATCTCTTCAGGGGGAGAGTAAGAAGGAATAGGTGATACCTAATTGGGTAACACTTGACAATTATATTCAAGATGAGAGTTCTATTGCATAAGGTCTTACTTAAGAAGACAATGTTGGATGTCTGCATAAACCAGACATGAAGAGATATTTAAGGAGAGACAAGTTAGAAAAAATCATCATGTAGTCTGTTCTATGTCAAGAATCTTCTTCGGTTTAAGAAATACTGGTGAGTTATCTTTCCTTTGTGGTTTATCATATGAACTTATTATATTTAAAAAGGGACGATGACTTGCACTAAATATCTTATATCTAACTTTATTTTTCATGACTCTCTATATCCCGCTTATAAATATTTTGTCTTGTCTATTTTCTCTGTCTATTCCATAGGATTAGAGAGATGTTTTAGGAGATCCCAGGTAGAAGGAAACCATGATTGAAGAAATAAAAATATTAACAAAAGGTGAAACATGAGACCTTGTTTTACCTCTACATAGAAATAAGATGGTTGATTGCAAATAGATGTTCATTGTAAAATACAAAGCAGACAGATTGATTGAAATATACAAAACTATATTGGCGGTTAAAAGGTCTACTCAGGCATATGGAATTGACTACCTGGATACCTTTGCACTTGTCGCGAAGATGAAGACAATTAAAATACTTATGTCTTACGCGACTAACCTTCATTGAGATCCACAATAGTTTAATGTAAAAAATACATTACTTTATGGAGATTTAGAGGAAGAGGTATACACAAAAATTTTACCTGGATTTAAAGATGAAAGGATGTAAGGAAAAATTTGCAATTTAAAAAATGCCTTACATAGATTAAAACAGTATCCAAGAGCATGGTTTGAAAGGTTTAGAAGAGTTATGATCTTTTTTAAATTTTAACAAAGCAATGATAATCATACCCTATTTACCAAACATCATAAGAGTAATGTCACTATTCTCATTATTTATGTAGATGATATTGTGGTGACTTGAGATGATACAAAAAAAACGACTTAACTAAAGTAACTTTTTATTCAAGAGTTTAAAATAAAAAATTTAGGAAAATTGTTATATTTATTGAGAATTGAAGTTGTCAGATATAATAAAACGATCTTCATTTATCAAAGAAAATATATCTTAAACTTACTAAAAGAGATTAGTATGATGTGTTGCAAGTTGATATAATTACCCATTGAAAGTAATTACAAACTATAAATAGATAGTGGTACATCAGTCGACTTGGAGGATATAAAAGATTAGTTGGACGACTCATTTATCTCTCACATACTAGACCTAATAAAACATATGTAGTTAGTCTAGTGAGTCAGTACATGCATGATTCTCACGAGACTCATTTACATGTTGTCTTCCGCATATTACAATACCTAAAATCTGTTACAGAAAAATGTATATTTTTTTTCCAAAAACTTTAATATAGAAGTATTTACAGATGTCGATTATGTTGGGTCTTTGGATGATAGAAGATCAACTACAGGTTACCGCACACTCGTATGAGACAACTTGGTTGCATGAAAAAGTAATGAGGCAAGTGTAGTTGCTTGCTCCAGTAATTTCC